GAAAAATTATTATAACTTTTTAAAAAATAAGGCCGCTAAGTTATAATAAATTGATTTAGCTACAAAATAGTGGCTTCTTTTTTAAAATATCTTTTTTAGATCAAAAGTTATTGGCTTTTAAAGTTTGTGTAGTCTTTAAGTGTCGCGCACTATAGTTAAATAAAAAATTCGTGGTGATTATGGATATAAGTCACGGGTGTTTGCTTTACCAGTAGACTTCTCTATTTTCGGGTTACATGTAAAAATGAAAAGTATTCTTGCAACTGATTGGATATCAGGCATATCACATGTTTTATAATAACCTTCATTCTTATTCTATCTAATCTTATTGGCTAGTATTAAATCGGTTCCAGTGAAATAATCTCTTCCAGTGAAAGCTTCACTGGAACCACTGGAACACTGGAAATATCTGGATGTCCAGTGAGGTTCCAGCTTCCAGTCAACAACACTGATATAAATATATTACTGATTAATCACACTAATGAAAAAATTCCGATATTAGTGATCACATATAGTTTTGAATTACTTAGTTGACATACATCCTCAATGCCACATGGCATACCAAATAAATTAATTTGTGCGTGCCAGGTTCCCTAGATTTGCCCCTACTTTCTTTTACACAATATTTGACACGTATAATGATTAATTACAGATACGCGTGCATGCAGATTTTCGAGTTAACTTTTATATGTAAATGCTACGTAAGAAAACAAGACTTTGGATTTTCGGCCTTTGAAAAATCCGATCATTGATATATGATGCGTAATACTGTAATAAAATGAGTCCAATTTCTTTTATTATTATTTAGACTTTTGTATATATATAATAAAGATAATTGGATTTTTTAAATGAAGAAAATTCTCGCCTTTTTTAAACTTTAAAGATTTTCAATGCATAATGACAATTACCTACGTACGTACGTACGTACGTACTTCAGTACTTTATTCAAATTACGTATTACCGTTACTGTATTAACAATGTGTTCCTCAATATATTTATTTATGTAATAAAAACAACAGAATTAAATGAATGGTATTGACAGCCTGTATTTTTCATACGTATCATTTTCTCTTTTGTATACATTTAGATATAAACTTATGGAAACTTTATTAGTCTAGTAGTCACACGGTTAATGCTATCTGGTGATCAATCAGGATACAGAAATATATATCTGTGATTGTAGCTTCTCTCCTGCAATAACAATTTATTCATCAATGCTTAAACGAGCCAATTTTAAATATTTAGCATTAACTTTGGTGGTACTTTTCTTTTTTCATTGGGCATTAATAACAAATCGTCCAAAATCAAGTTATTCAAAAGCATGGGTACCATCAGAACCTGAAGATCTACCAAGTATAGTTTTTGGTCCGAATAAGACGAATGTTATCGAAGAACCGGATAGAGCAAAAGCATGTTTTGTAGTTTTGATTCGAAATAGTGATTTACATAGCTTTAGAGCATCTATGAGACAACTTGAGGATAGATTTAATCATAAATATAACTATCCATATGTATTTTTAAACGACGAACCATTTACGGAAGAATTCAAGCAATATACGAGCGCCTTAACCAAAGCAAAAACCGAATATGGTAAATGACCCAAATAAAAAAATTTTTTTTTATTTACTGATGGGATTGTTTCTGTGGCTATTTGTTTTGGAGAAGTTATCAGAAAAATAAATCTTTATTATATAATAATAGGTGTAATTCCGAAAGAACACTGGAGTGTTCCAGATCATATAGAAATGGAAACTGTAAATAAAAATATGGAAAAAATGGATAAAGATGGTGTCTTGTATGGTGGTAGTTTATCTTATCGTCATATGTGCAGGTAAAAATGAATCGTTATGAATATATTTTATAAATATTACCTTTTTCAAATAATATTTATTTTTTGTTTAGATATGAATCCGGGTTTTTTTTCCGACACGAATTATTGGATAAATATGATTATTATTGGCGTGTTGAACCTGGGGTTCAATTTTATTGTGATATTGACTTTGATCCATTTGTTTATATTAGAGATAATAATATTAAATACTGTAATTATGTTTTATGTTATTATTTAATATCATTGTTTTTTGTAATTCTAAATTCTAAATAATTTTTTAAATTTTGATAATCTTAGCTTTTACCGTTTCATTATATGAGTATCCGGCAACGATACCTACACTCTGGGATGCTGTTAAAGAATTTGCTATATTACATCCAGAATTAATTGAAGAAGATAATTTAATGGAATTTATATCAAACGATAATGGAAATTCATACAATTTGTATAATGATTTTATTTATTATTATTGTGTTAAAAGTCTTGTTTAGAAATTACATATTAATGCCCGAATATATGTGTTTATCCAATTCTTTAATATCAATTTTAGGTGTCACTTTTGGTCAAACTTTGAGATCGGTGATTTGAATTTGTGGAGAAGTGAGGCATATAGGAAATTCTTTGATTTCCTTGATAACAAAGGAGGATTTTTCTACGAACGGTTAGTTTAAAATAAAATATTTATAAAGAATTTTTTTTTTTTTTTTAAGGAATAAGTATTTTATCCTAATATTTATTTTTATAATATTTATAATAGCTGGGGGGATGCACCAGTCCACTCAATAGCCGCTGCACTTTTCTTAAAGAAACATCAAATACATTTTTTCAATGAAATTGGATATAAGCATGAACCTTTCATGCATTGTCCTCAAGAAGAAGGGCTGCTATTAAAGTGTCACTGCGATCCTAATAATAATTTTGGTAAGTTATAATAAAATCGTTAATTGCATTTTAATCGTTAATCAATCTAACAATCAATTTTATACATGGTTTTTGTAGATTTCCATGGATACAGTTGTACTGGAAGGTAAGTATTTTGAATGGTAGATATTTGATATTAAGATCTATAGTTGTAGTTTTATATTAACGTATTATTCGATCTAATTTAACAGATTTCTTGAATTAGTAACGAAATGGAGTTTGCAGGACCTTCAGGATAATAGTGATGTTGGAGGTCGGATCCGGCCCAAAAATATGTAATCGGATATTCATTTGTTCAATCTTATTAATATTCAAATATTCATTGAAAATCTTAAATAAATATTTGAATATTCATTGAATATTCACTGAATATTATTATAATATAATAAATATATTTAGCTAAACTAAAAAAAAATATTTATTAAATGCTTAAATTCAAATTCAAGTATTCAATAAATATTTTTGTGACTTAGATTTAAACAAAAAACATTTTTTTAATAAATTAATTAGTAATTTACCAATTAACTAAAGAGTAATTATTTTGCAATAATACAGATTATATATAGAAATTAATTTTTAAAATATGATATACTTATATCTAAAATTTTTTTATACTAAGTTAATTATCTTTAAGTCTCTAATTAAAGTTGTAAAGCTTATCAAGACAAATTTAATAGTAATTAAATTTTTTAAATTGGTCTGATAGATCATGAGATATCTTTAAAAATATTTTGTTATCTATATAAATTTCTATATAAACAATATAATTATTTATATAGAAGTTTATATAGTTATTAAAATTTTTTCAAAGATTTCTTGTGATTTATCAAGCTGATTTTGATGATTTAATTATCATTAGATTTATTTTGACAAGCTCTATAACTTTAATTAAAAACTCAAATAATTAACTTAGTATAAATTATTTTTGTTTAAATCTAAGTTACAAAATCATTCATTAAATATTTATTGAGTATTCAATGAATGTTTTTTGTAACTTAGCTAAGTATATTTATTATACTATAATCATATTTGAATATTTACTAGTACAATAAGTATACTTAACTAAATTACAAAAAATATTTATTGAATACTCAATGAATATTAAATAAATGTTTTTGTGGTTTAGCTAAGTATATCTATTATACTATAATAGAATATTCTATAGAATGGATAGGCAAAATAAAAAATAAGCTTTGCTAATGATTAGTAATCATTAATTTTTTAATAACAAAGTTGCGGGGTTTGTGAGTTTGCCCCAGGGGTACCGAAAATTGAATTTCAATTAAATTATTACACAATTTAATTTAATTGATATTGTTATAAACAAACAATTGCAAAACAATTAATTGTGAAATAATTGCAATTAATTGCAATTTTTATAATAAAAAGTCTCGAAAATTTATTGTGTAACTAAAATTCTATTAAAATAAAATATCTATTGTTTAATTTGGTGAACGTCTTGAATTGACCACATATTACCATTTACTTTTAGCAATAAAAGATTTTCTAAGGTATATGGATCAAGAGACTTTCTTTAGTCTGTATAATAATACTTTACAAGTAAAAACAAATGCTCTACCACATTTGATGTAAGAGGAATAATATTCATATTCATGTACTTTGATTCATCTGATTTGCGTTTTTTTGCAACTCATTTCTTCATAGTTAAAGAGATTTCTTCTACAATCAGTTGCTCAATAATAAATGCTTCAAGCTTTTGCTCTTCATCTAATGTCAATACGGCTTCATGTTTTTGTAAAACTTTTATCACAGCTTCTTCAAAAACTGGATCATAAATTATTGAAGCATTTTTTCCTAGTCAACTTTCTAACTCTAGACATTTCTCTATCAATAAATCAAAGTAGGCACGAATATCGTCCAGGTTTATAGAATCACTTTGTAAGTCGTTAGTCACTTCAGAAAAATATTTAAGCCGTTTAATTAAATGATCGACTTCATTAAGATCCAATTGCTCAATTAACAAAATATTACGACCTGATATATATAGGAATATGTAATAAAAAAAAATAATTAATTAAATAAAAATAAAAAAAAATTAAAAATAATAATAAAAAAATAAAAAATCTTAACCTGAAAATTCGTTGGCTTGAGTAATATAGGGAACAAGTTCTCTAAATCGTTCAATCATTTTCATACTACTCATCCAACGTGTTGCATTGTCCAATATAGGTTTCAACAATATTATCTTTGCAAGTTTTTCACGATTCTTATAAGTCTGCATCATATATATGACTAAACAAATCTGATTTACAAGAGTAGACGAAAAACTGATAAAGTCATTAACAGCCAAGTTTAGACGGTATGAAGCACATCCGACAAGTAAAAGATCCAAATCATTAGCAATTTTACAATTTGTACTACAATTGTCACCCGAAAGAAAAAAAATGTTTTCGACACTCTTGCTATATGATTTTAAAACATCTTTAAAAAACTTAATATGCGCATCTGCATTTTGGGTGATATGATCTTCAAAGGGTGAAAATACTAGCAAAACTAAATTCCTAGATCCGTAAATAGTTTGATGGATTTCGAACATCTCAACAAAATGAATACCATTATTTGTTCATCTGTCGAACATAATCCCAATTTTTTCTGGCAATATATTTTTACTCTCTCTCATACAAGATCTGCTAAACCAATAATGTACTTGCTGACCATAGAAGCATCCAATTTCGAAAGACTAGTATGTGAGATAAAATCAGGATTCTCATATATGTTAAGAGGTAATTGATACTTCTGTACTTTATGATAAGGCTCATCTAGTTAAAATATTGAGTATACTTGCGCTATAGCTAAGCATATTAGAACTTAATGTAGAGGCATTTTCAATTCGCTGTTGGTAAATCAACTTAAAGTTTTCATGTCTCGTTTCTAAATGATGCATTAAATTAGTATAACCCGATCCTCTTTTTTGGGTTACCAGCTGTGATCCGGGAGAACATAAGTCACATTGATACTTTCTATTATTTGCAGGTTGAAAAAAGATCTCTACGTAGCATTTGTTCGAAACTTTTGTACTCATTGTAATCTAAAGTGTTATTTCAGTATACTTGTTTTTAAAAAGAAAAAAAAATCTACTTGATTGCTTGATTTCTTTATCTGACCATATATGCTTTTTTTTTTAATTGTATAAGCTTTTTTTTATTGATTTAACGATATAAGCTTTTTTTTTATTTATCTAATCATATAGGCTTTTTTATTTATTTAATCATAAAAGCTTTTTTTTTTATTTATCGAATCATATAAGCTTTTTTTTCTTTATTAAATAATATAATAAACTAAAATTTGACGTCAAGATCAGCGGGTTATCACATTTACGAACTGCGGCAAAATTGCAATTAATTGTTTAATTGTAGCTATGCCACCAATTAATTAATTGAGATCAAAGAATTGCAATTAATTGCCTTCACAATCAATTTTTCGGTAGCTCTGGTTTGCCCACCTATTCTATAGAACATCTCTATAATAATCAAATATTTACTAAATATTTAAATATTATTATAATATAATAGATATACTTAACTAAACTACAAAAAACATTCATTGAATACTTAATAAATATTCAATAAATGTTTTTTGTGATTTATATTTAAACAAAAATAATAATATGCTTATATATATAATATTTTTTTATATTAAGTTAATTATCTTTAAGTTTTGAATTAAAATTGTAAAGCTTGTTAAGATAAATCTAATAGTAGTTAAATTATTAAAATCAGTTTGGTAAATCACAAAATATTTTTGAAAAATATTTTACTAATTATATAAATTTTTATATAAACAATAGTATTGTTTATATAAAAGTTTATATAATTAATAAAATGTTTTTCAAAGATATCTCATAATCTACCAAACCAATTTTAATAATTAAATCACCATTAGATTTATCTTGACAAACTCTATAAAAACTTAAAGATAAAAATTTTAAATATAAGTATGTTATTTTAAAAATTCTAATTTTTATATATAATCTGTGTCATGTTATACTATAATTACTCTGGTTAACTAGTGAATCACTAATTAAACATAATATATTTGCATTTTTATTGGTCAATTAAATAGTATATATTCATTGAATATTCATTGAATATTCATTGAATATTCATTAAATTATTTGGTAAATAATTTTATATTCAAATATTCAATTGGAAACAATTTTATATTCGAATATTCGAATATACTATTCATCGGATTAGACCTCTAGATGTAGATTAACAGTAATGTTTAGAAACTATTAATTATAATTTAAAAAAAATATATATATTAATAAAAGAAAGAAAAAACTTATAAATTACATTTTCAATTTTTTCGATAAAGAAAATGCGAAATTCACAAATTGATTAATGAACCTTTTAATAACTTTATTTTTTTTTTTTCAGATAAAACTAAAAAAAAGTACGAAATTTTTAAAATACATCGAATTATTAAAATTTTCGATGCAAATTAATAAATAGGATTATGTAAATACTAGCATTTAACAATTTAAATTACTATATAATATTGTTCTATATGATTTTTTGATGACCAAGGTCATCGGTATATGTTTAACATAAATCTGCTAATTTTGTCATAGTTTGAATTATTTCTTCGGGTGAAGTAACATGCCAACTCGCTAATGTCTTTTTATTCGGAGGTCCAATGGTAGTTGTGAAATAATCTACATCGTTAAAGTCGGGTCTTTTTAGTACTCGGAACATATCCTCGTCTGTTCTGTCATCACCCGCACAGAATACGAAATCTACGTCCTGCATGTTTGTCAACAAGCGCTTCACAATTTCACCCTTGAAACCATTATATCATGTTAATATAAATTTTTTAAATTAAGATTAATAAATATATTTACTAACCTTGTTAATTAATGTTGGACGAACTTCAAGATTTTTCTTGCCTAGCAAAATTTCTACAGGTAATTTTGGTAGAATTGCGCTTTCCAAATGATTTTGACATTCTTTAGCTTGGAATGCACTAATTAAAATCAACCGATACGTTCTAATAAGTAAATGTATTTATTTAATTTAAAACAAGATGATATAAAATTACCCATATTCAGGATCTGCTTGACGATAGTGCCATGTGATTGAAGAACGTTTAAGTTCAATGGATGAACCTTGCGTACGGTCTGTAAAATAAGTGAAAATCTCATTAACATCATTCATCCAGTTCATATCAATATCTTCGGTGAGATTGATCCATTTATCACTTCCGGGATACTTGAGGAAACAACCATGCTCTGCACTATAAAATTCGTTTAATAAATCAAAGTCATTGCCAAGTTTGTTATTAATTATTAACAAGGTTATTGATTAACAAGTTTGTTATTAATTATTAACAAGGTTGTTGATTAACAAGCTTGTTATTAATTATTAACAAGTTTGTTATTAATTATTTATAGATCAAGGGTTACACACCTAAAACCAAGTTTCTTAATATTGCCAAGCCATTTCTCCAATATATTCTGATCACGCCCAGACACTATCCATACGGTATTTTTTGGGTCTTCCACAAGTTTTTTTAAAGCCTCGAGCATATTTGGTGGTGGTATTGCTTGACTTGGCGTTTTTACAATCGGTGTAAGCGTACCCTTAAAAAAAAAAATAAAAAAAAATAAATTGAATGATTATGAAATCCAAAAATATATTAAGCATATAAATGAAGTAAATACTCTACATCATAATCGAATAATAATAATCGGTTTTTTGAGCTTTTATATTTTTCCGTTAAAAGTTGTACGTCAAGATAAGGAGTAATATTTGATTGATTACTATTTAAGCTGTGAATAAGTTCCTTGATAAAAGATTTTGCCCAAAATTGAGCAGTATGTATAGTCACGTGTCTGTATAATTGCTATAAAAGAGAATACTTATTCTTAAAAAAAAATCGTAATTTTGAAAAAAAAAAAGTCAACTAAAAAAGAGAGATATAAGTACCATATGTTTGTTTTGTTTTTCTTCATAACTCATAGTAAGAGCGTCATTTATGGCTTTAGCTACGCCACTATAATCCCATGGATTTACCATAATAGCAGCACCCAAAGAACCAGCCATTCCAGTGAACTCACTCAAGATGAGTGGGCCATAATTTTCTTGTTGACACATAACATATTCTAAAGAAGTAGTATTCATTCCATCACGAACTGATGTAATCAAACCTATATCAGCAACGCTTAAAAGAGCATAATATTCATCTTGTTCAATTAGGCTATGAAGATGATGAACAGGAGTATAATTGAGAGAACCATAAGTGCCATTTATATGAGCAATAAGCTCGGCGACTCTACGCTCAAGTTTTGGGGATTCAGTTAGAGCAGGAGAAGTGACTTGAATTAGAACGACCTAAAAAGAATTAATAATAATAATTAATAATTAATTAATAATTTATAATAAAAATAATATATGAATAATAATTAGTTAATAATCAAATAAACAAATAATATATTGACCTTATGTTGCCATTCAGGATATTCAGACAAAAACTTTTCAAAAGCGTGTAATTTTTGAATTACACCCTTAACTAAATCGAGCTTATCTCTACCAACAATAATTTTTTTTCCAGAATGTAGTTCCTTTAATGCAGCAATTTTTGGAGCAACTTCGGGATTTTTTCTTTGCTTTTCAACTCTTTCAGCATCTATACCGATGGGAAAAGGACCAACAGATACTAATGAACCTTTAGCATCGACACCACTTGGAGTTGATTCATAACCAAGGATACGAGTACAATTGCTTATAAAATGTCTCGCATAAGAATATGTCTAAAATAATATAAAATAATAACAATAATAATAATGATAATAATAATAATAAATAATAAATAATAAATAATATAATGATTGTTTTTATGATGTGACTAAATAGAGAAAGATCGAGTAGTGTTGTTAGCCGACTAAATTATCGACCGATCATCGACTAATATCGACCATCGATCAATATCACACTTAACAATGAAATATGCATAAATAAGTTGCATATTCATTGTTCATAAGTGCGACATTGTATACGCTAAGTTGGCTAATAAAACTAAAAATTAGCATACCTGAAAACCAACTTGGTTAGCACCTAGCATGCCATCTAGCATTTCCTTCCTTTCTTTGGATTAATGAAAATATAAAAAATTAAAAAGCAAGAACATATATAAAGGGAACATAAAAATAAAAGAAGTCAAAACTTACGCGGTAAACATCTAAATATTTCAGAACTTGGAAAAGGAGCATGAATGAAGAGGCCAATAGCGGCATCAGGAAGCAAATCACGTAACATTCGAGGTATCAACAAAAGATGGTAATCATGAATCCAAACTATAAGTATTTAAATGATGGAATTAATAATGAACACGATAATATATAGTAATAATAATATTCATAATAATAATAGAATAATAATAACAATATTCATAATAATAATTATTGATAAAAGAATAATAATAACAATATTCATAATAATAATTATTGATAAAAGAATAATAATAACATACCTAAATCATTTGGACGATAAAATTCTTTGATTTTGTCGGCAAATGCTTGATTGACAGCGCGATATTGTACCCAATTTTGATTTTCCTGACGACCATCGGTCGCGGTATCCCACAAAATATAATGAAACAACGGCCATAATACTATGACACGTACAATCAACAAAACACGAACGTAGAATCTGCAGGATAATTGATAAAATCAACACGCGAACGCGCATCACGTACCAGTTTTACAAAAACCCTCATAATGGCCGTGATGTTGTTCATCTTCAAGAAATACCGGCACAATTTTTTTTGTCAATAAAAAGTCCTGCAAACTTTTCTTAAGATCCTCGGTAAAAGAACTACTCTCAATTGGCTTTTCTTCTGTATCAAAAATTTGACCTACGAAACCAATGTGGTAACTATCCCAATCTTTAGCTAAGGAATGAATTCCAGCGTAAAGAGCGGAATGACCCCTTCGTGGTTTTATAGACCAATTATATGTAGTAGTACCATCCTCAGAAAGTTTTGGAGGTTCTAACATATAAGTGTCATAAGGGATCAGATGGGTCACATTAATGATTCGGATATACTTTGAGTTTGTAGAAATGCTAGCCCCATTGGAGATGGTTGTAACGGAAGATTTAAGAAACTGCGAAGAAGGCATATTTAAATAGAAACGACTTTTTAACAAATTCGTTACGAAGTGATGTATATATATCTATTATCTATATATATATATGTGTGTGTATTCTAATTAGAGTTATAAAAAAAAAAATTTTTTTATAAAACTATGATGCAAAGATGACCGATGGTTTTTTTTAAAGGGGTCAACATTTTACGTATTGCTGTATTGCATCACAGAGTCTTAAACTTTATCGTTACTTATCGTTATCTTCTCGATATCATCCATACCTGGTATATGGAAATATAGATGTCTGTGCTGTTTGAAACTAAACCGTCCTCTCATATCTTGTACAACAAATATTGATTTGATATTCTTATCTGTTTCGAGAATCACTTAAAGTTCATATGAATATTAAACTTACTATAGCAGATTTCATATCTGATAACTAAAGGTTTCTGTCACGCCTTAAATGAATTAACCTTTATTGGTGCAATTTGTTATCTTATTAATCTTTTTTAAGTTTTATTACGAAAGACGCGAAGATTAGGCATAAGTAATTTAGCATTTTGAGCAATAAAAAATTTAGGTGATTTAAGTCTTTATTCAAAAGTAATAAACAGCTGATTCTTCAAAATGAGATATGTTGTAAAATGAAATGTTATGAATATCCAATGCTTAAAAATAAAATTTAGAACAATGATCAATAAGTTCACTTAATCGAAAAGGAATCATGTTTTAATTATACCGGTGCGTTTGCCGTGAATTATCATCGCATCTAGAATAATGTGCTAAAAAGGATTCCATTTTACAATATACTTATTAAGTCTGAACTGATGCTGGTAACCAACGAGTCGTGATTCGGGACCCCCGTAATCGACAATCATGATTTATGTTCATATTATTCCGTGATCTCTATTGTATTACGGAGTATTCCCCATATAAATACATTCCTAAACGTGTGGTACAATCTCTAGTAGTTGTACAGTACATACGTAAGGCTACAGATACGTACTTCTATAGATAAACTTGTATGTACTTGCGTACTTCTGTAGGATTACATAGCGTCCAGAAATGTTTAATAACGCCAAAAATTACGCAGGGCTAAAGATATTATTAGCGTTATTTCATTATTGTTTCAATTAATTAAACTATTTTCAATACATTACGTCAATCATCTCAACAAATTGGGTATCCACGCTTTAGACCCTGGTACCATTGTCTTCCTATATCAATAGCTCTTCATAGTAAATGTTTTTGGATAATTATCTCATTGACCCTGTAATATCGACTGTATAATTGACGATTGACATGACACTTTAGAAAGCAAATGTGGCCAACCACCTTCGTTCTCGATCTTAATGGACTTCGGTGTGCCAACCAGGGCAAAAAATACCTACTTATTTACCGGCCATTTACTGCGCCGATGCCCATTGTTTGAAGTATCTTTTTTGATACATCCGATTTTAGAGGTGTATATATTTTATTGTTACGATTATTGACCAATTGAACTTTTATATTTTACTATTGTTTTTTTAATCGTTAAATTCTTGAATACCGTTGAGTAAAAAAAATGTAGACAACAGTATAGATAACTAAATGTCATCAGATATTGACGAAACATCCGAGTCAGTTAATCATGTTAATAGATACCTTCGGCCAAGTTGGAAGGATGAATATCCATGGCTTGAATTTGATATGCAAAATAAACGAATGTTTTGTACTTTATGTCGTGCTTGCAATAAGAAAAATGCATTTGCAAAAAATGGTACATATATTTAAATTATTTATATTTTTGAATATATTTGATGTTTAAAATTTGATATTTAAATAAATATAATTATATCTTTAAATATTCGATAAGGATCTACAAATATTAAGCTTTATGCTGTAAAAGAACATACTAAAACAAAAGATCATATTAGCTCAGAAGCAAAAAAAGAAATTATAAACGCACCACCTGGACATGTTATAAGCTTAATGAAAATTGTTTATTCTATGGCAAGAAATGATTTTCCATTAAGCAAATTTAATCAACTAACTCTAATGGGCCGTGCTATTGAATCTCCACATCTAATTTCTAAAGACTGTTCAATTACATATGAAAACAATATATATGGGCGAGAATTATTATCTTCTATAGCTCTTTCAATTGAAAATAAACTTTGGAATGAATTATGTCTTGCTACGGCTATAGGTATTATCGTCG